GACATTTGGCCTCAGAGAGGGGGGGGTCCCGGGGGAAGCCACCCCCCCACCCCCCACCCCAAGAGGGGATACTGTGTCACCCCACAGCCCCACCTGTCCTCCGGGGGTCTTTGTAGTCTGGCACGGGCTCCATGTAGGGTTTCAGCTCGTCATCCTCGTGGCCCACGTTCATCCAGCGGTCCTTCATGATTTGCTGTAGGGTGGGAGGGACAGTGGGGGGGGGGTCAGCAGCTTCCTGGGGTGACACTGCGGGTTTCAGGCACTTCAGAATCCCAGGTTGGGGGGGAAGGGGAGATGGGGGCTGTCTGGACACCAGGCAGTCCCACCTTAGGGGACTTTCTTGGGGTCGCATTTAGGATCTGGGGATCTTCCTGGGGTCACTTTTCGGGTCCCTGGGGGTGAGCACAGCCATTTTCAAGGGCAGAGAAGCTCTCCAGGGGCAGCTGGGCTTATGTTGGGGGTTGCCTGGAGCTGTGCTTAGGGGGGGGGGATACCTGGGGTAACCCAGGAACTTTGCAGTGTGCCCTAAACCACACTGGGGATCCCCCTCACCTCCAGGGTACCCCGTTTGGTGGGGTTGAGGATGAGGAATTTCTTCAGCAGGTTCTCACAATCGGTGGACATGTAGAAGGGGATCCGGTATTTGCCCCGCAGCACCCGCTCCCTCAGCTCCTGGGTAAAAAGATGTGGCACAAATCAGTGCTGGGGGGGGCAGGGGGGGGCAGAATGGACCCCTGGGGCATCCCACACGTGGTCCCCAAGGCTGGGGATACCCCCCTCCTCCCCCCAGGCAGGCACTACCTTCAGGTTTTGCCCATCAAAAGGCAGGGAACCGCTGACCAGGGTGTAGAGGATGACTCCCAGGCTCCAGACATCCACCTCGGGTCCGTCGTATTTTTTGCCTTGGAAAAGTTCAGGGGCAGCGTAGGGTGGGGATCCACAGAACGTGTCCAGCTTGTTTCCGAAGGTAAATTCGTTACTGAACCCAAAATCAGCAATTTTGATGTTCATGTCGGCGTCCAGCAACAGATTTTCTGCCTGCCAGAGAGAGATGGCTGCGGTCAGGACCTTGAGGAGGGGAAGGGGGTGAGGGAGGGTGGGAAATAAGGAAGGGATGGGGGTCTGGGGGCTGCTGAACGGTGTCCTGGGGATTCCAGACATGGTCCTGGAGGTCCTGGGGTGTCTTGGTGCCACCCTGGGGGTCCCTGGGTCCTGCCCTGGGGGTCCCTGGGTGTTTCCTGGGGGTCTTTGGGTGCTGC